CAAATGAAAACAGCCCGGGTTCGAGCCTCGGCTGGCGCAACGCCTAACGCTGGGTCTGTTTGGCTGGCTGAGGACGGCCAGTAGGCCAGAACTGGCAATTTCTGTCTACCTGGTCTTTGTTATGTCAATGAAGGTCCTAGTCGAGTACTCTACGCAAACCACTGGTCACCGACAGTAGTATGTAATAGCTTTTTTTACTGGGGTTGCCATTTTGGGTAAAGATTTCTTGGTCGGTAGAACAGTATTTGCAAAGGCCGAAGATCAAAGCGACTGTTTGAAGTGGGTGTCTGTGGCGCTTATAGCCGCCAGTACAAAAAATAATGAATATGTTTATCAGAAGTAATGGATAACTGAACTTTAGCCCTGAAAAACGCAAGGCAAAAACAGGGTGGGGGGAAACTAGAGTGAACATGTTTGGCCTGCTACTGCAACACCAGCTCGGTGAGGCCTGGAACTAAAACAGGTTCAGTTGGTCAGTCAGTACTTCCAGTTCCTATTGCCCTTATCCTCCTCAGTAGACGCCTGAATTTCTGTCCGGTATGTAGTGAAATTCCGGACTCAGCATGTCCCTTTCCGCCCTGTTATGCCGAAAGGTCGTTTTAAAGCACACACACACTCACGTAGCCTTAATCGTGCTATAGAGCACTTTTCTGTAGGTGTGGCCGTGGTAAGTGGCGTTATGGGGTTATGTTTTTTTTAAATTTTAATTCTGCAGCCCTCGTCAGGTAAAGCCCATGTTACCTCGACAACGTACCTAACAAAAACGACCATTGCCAACTAAAAATCGATCTCATCCCATGCCTCTTCGTACTGCCATCCCCGGAAGCGCATGTATGAAAGTGAGATTTTATTGCTGAGGGTAATGGCGAACAACAGCAAATTTTAGTGTTTCTCCGTGACTCTGAGAACTCACCTGTGCATATTCTTATTATTATTCTTGACCAGTTATCTTTGAATCTCCCCGACTGATAATGATGATGAGTCTTCTGTTAAGACTGCTTGGAGGTGGACGCTTGGCAATCACCTGATAACGCCGCTAGTTTGTCAGTCATGATTTTTCCGTCTACATTGCCAGTCTAATCTCCGCTCTTTTCTTTTGAAGACATCATGAGCCTCGGCATAATCGCTGCCGCCATCGTCATCACTCTTTTCTTGGGCATCCTCATAGGCGGCGTGTATGTCTACAGGTGAGTGCGTGCTTTTGTGCCTTTCGAGCCTAATGCTAATTCCATGTCCTGATAATTTAACGTTTAAGTGGGCATTCTTTTCAATCATCTTTGTGCTGCATACTCTAAAGTTTTATTGCGTGGCAAGAATCTTGTTTTAACTTTAGGCCGCCCCTTTGTTCGAATCCGGGCACTTGAGATTTTTTTTATTTTTACCTCGCACACAGCTTCTGATTCTATTTTGGCAGATAACATAACCCAGCCTGTAAAGAGAAAACTGACCTGTATCGCAGCTACCTGATCCCCTTTGTTTTACCCTCCGTCCCACTACCAAATAGACGGTTTGCAAAACATGCTCTGACCCACATAAAGCTGATAAGATAGCACAAATTATCATACGTCCCCGCCTAAAAGTCTACATCTGGAGCGCGGAAGTTTAATCTAAACTTCAAC